AAATAATTTGCCTGCTTCACAAATTCAAAGTGAATGTGAGGTGTCATTTACACATCACTATGATTATGAATTGGATTCAAATGATGAAACACCATTGTGAGAAATGAAATGAAATCTGAAAAAAATATCCACCAATCAGAAAAAACTAACATCAAAGGATAGGAAAAAATGAAGAGTTTATCAATATTAGAGAGAGGATATTCAGAGCAATAATGATATTTTTGAAAACCCCCAAAGTGATAATATTACCGAATATACCCCTTCACAATTGTTTTCACTTTTCTTTGATGAAACAATTCTTGGAACAATCACTGATGAAACAAATGGTTATGCATCTCAGAAAAATAGATCCATGCGGGTAGAAATTAGCAAAGTGAAATGTTTCACTGGAGTCCTTCTATTCAGTGGCTACCTTCCACTTCCCAGAAGAAGAATGTTTTGGAAACGAGTACAAAATACTAATAGTGCTCTAGTTTCCCAAGTAATATCTATAAAGAAATTTGAACATATTCTATAACATATACTCTTTTGAAAATAATAATACTTTGGATCAATGAAACAAATTTGGCCTCTTTTCACATTTCTTGAGCATGCTTACATCGAAGAGGAACATAGCATTGATGAAGTCATGGTTCCCTATACGGGAAGACATGGCTGTTATCGGTCGGAACCACCCGTCAGGGATACATTAATTGGTTTGAGCCCTATAAAGGTGCTGCAACAAATATCAGCAGAATATATAAAGAGTTGGTTGTTGGAACTTCGGTGGTACTTGAATATGCTGATACTATTCAGTCAAAATGGAAAGATTTAATATTTCATTTATATTTCGATAATCTCCTTAAGTCTACTGCTTTACTAGAACATCTTACCCAGAAGAAGCTATGTAGTAATGGAACGATGCGTGAAAACCGTGTTTCAGACAGTATTTTTCGTAACTCAAAACTACTAAAAAAAGCTCTACATGGAACCTATGACTACTATAAAATTAGCGATCAGAACATAATATCCGTTAAGTGGAATGATAATGATATTATGACATACGCTTCCAATATAGTTGGAGCAAACCCGTTACATAACGTTCGACGATACTCCCAAAAAGAAAAGAAGTATATTCAAGTTGATCATGTCGTCATGATGTATAATGAAAGTATGGGCAGAGTTGATCGTTCAGTATCGCACATCTGTAAGGCTAGGGTCGCACTGCAGGAAGGTTGGTAGGATGGTGGATGGTAGTTAGCTGCCTGGCGAACATCCTGCTATTTATAAACGTGAGTAACAGAACGACGGTAGCCGCAGTGGACCCCCACTACCATCTAACCTCCAGAAACCACCCGAAGATATGCCAGGCGTCTATCCAACCTAATCAGTCGTGTTTGATATTCCAGCTGGGTAGCCTAGCTAGGGAGGAAAGCGTAATAAGTTCTGTGTACAAAAGAAGGGCAATTTGGGACCCAGCAGACCCAATAAGGAAAAATTCAAAAATTTTGACGACACTGCTGATATAGCTTCTCTGAAGCTCATTGAAGTTCTTTGCAATTTGCATTCAGTCAACTTCAAAAGTAGGTCAAATGCCTCAACTGACATCCTCAAATACAAATAAAATTTGTCAAAGGGGTGGCCGAATTTTTTTGTAGACTCTCACGAATTATCCGTCCTGTTGACGCCTCAAATTGTAAGTATGCACCCACGGTTTTTTATAACACTATTTGCCACTATAATTCTCGAATATGAACTAAGTAAAATGTTTTTCGCAACTTTGGAGAGAGGCATGATTGTTACTTTTCCGCCGTCACTTGGATACTGGCTTCATTTCACTGCGTCCAGGATGCATTGCCCCTCCATCATCCACCTTTACCATCCACCCTCCAAGCTACCATCTAGCATTCTGCAGTGCGGCCCCGGTTAAGAGTGGTGCTTTCCTTTAGTTACCCATTGCGTAGATATGGTAGTGAACAATACTTGGCAATAAGTGTAAAAACTCTGGAGGAGTAATGGATCAGCCGTTCTTCCAAAAAAAGAGTTCATTCACCAGAGAGGACATTGGTCCAAAAATATGGATTTAGAATTGCAGTTTGATCGAATGGACCATTTAGTCGTGCCCCAAGAAAAACAAACTAGATATGGTTCTTGCCACAAAAAAATTACCACTAGGTGTCAAAACTGTGACATTTGTTTGCATGTTGAATATTTTATAACATACCATACTAAATAAATAGTTACTGTTCCAAATTATTCATAATATAGCTTATACCCATTGTCCTATATATAGTACAGCCTGAAAAATGTCTTGGGGTAATTTTTTTCTTCTAAAACTGAAATTCATGAACTACTTTTCATGCTGAATTACTACTAATTCATAACCACCTTGTACTTGACCCCAAATTGTTTGGGGCATATCTGGGTTAATTCTTCTATCTCCAATGAAATATCTCTATATTCTATTCTAGTAAGCAGTAAATGTTGAAATCCAAGGTACTTGTTCAACTAAAGAAAAACATGAAGCTAACAATTCAAAATATCATATAATGAAAGTTTTGCCCTTCTCACAATTGTGACATACTCCAAGCAATAAACGATCAAAACATCAATTAATTTTCTGAAAAATCATAGAATGTGAACACTTGGTCAAGTCAGTTAGAGCACGACGGAATATGTTACAATCATTTCAATAATGATTCATGGCTCCAAGCAACGCTTCCTGTAAACCTTGGCGGACTAGGGTTACGTTCGGTTTCTCCCGTAGCTTTACCAGCTTTTCTGTCATCAGTCAATAGTGTTTCTGATCTTATCGATTCCATCCTTCCTTCCATATTTATCAATATTAAAGATGTTTTTTATGCTGAAGGTGAATCACTTTGGCATGCCGCAACTAATATTGCTCCTCCAACAGATAAAAAGAAAATACAAAGTGCATGGGACCGACCTCTTCTGAACATTATAACTGATAAACTTCTGAAATCTACAAGTGTATACGATAAGGCTCGTCTGAAAGCAGCAAAATGATCAAGGAGGAAATATAGTTTGTTGAAAGTACTTGGGCTTTCATTAATACTAGTGAATAATTATATACAGTCCACATTGGTAACGGGTTAAAACCCTAACAGTAGGTAAACGACCAGATGGAATGTCTCTCATACCATGGAAATACGGTAAACCTGTGGTATGGGACTTCGCTTGCGTTGACAGTGTCGCGGCTTCCCATCTAGCCAGAAGTTCGAAGTCTGCTGGAACTGCAGCATTGTCTGGCGAGAAATTGAAAAGAAAAAAATGCCAAAATTTTGGTAACAACTATCTGTTCCATTGAGATTTCGGGCCATTGGTGTTTATGGCCCGAAGTCTCTGTTATTCGTTCATTAACTCGGAAGGAGAATAGGCCAAGCAACGAAAGATCACCGTTCTACCTCTTTTTTGATAGAAAGAATTAGTATTGATATTCAACGTGGCAATGCTGCTTCGGTCCTTGGAACTATTCCTCCTTCACATAATTTTGATGAGATAATGCATTGCCCTAATTTCAGTACGGAACTAAAATCTCTTCGAAACAAGCCGAGATATGTGGATATTCATCAGTCTCCTATCAAGGTTAATTCACAAGTGATTGATCCACCTTCTTCTTTTTCAGTGCGGTCAGTGGACTCAGGTCATTCTTGTCCCCCAAATATGAGTTGCAGTCCTCGTAGTTCTGGTTCCTTTTCAGTGGAAGAGCTTCATGAAGCAAGAGCCGAATCGATCCCTTTACGAAACCCTTCTTCAATTGGAAGGATCGATTGCAGCTTGTTCTTTCTGTGAAACGTGTTCTTCCTTACGAATCAGTAGAGAGTTGTCCTGAAAATCTAGAGAAGAAAATTGGATTGGATAATTTAGGAAATACTTGCTACATGAATAGCATTTTACAAGTGTTGTTCATGAGGAAGAATTTCAAGAACGAGGTTTTAATGATGAACGAGAACGGGAATATTTCCTACTTATTCATCAAACTCAAACACCTGTTCATGCAGCTGCACTTTCGTAAGAATGTATCATCTTTCCCTCCAACCGATTTCCTGGAGTCTTTGAAGTCCACTAGATACTCGTTAGGACAACAAGAGGATTGTTCCGAATTCTTGGGGTTCTTGTTGAATACTCTTCGTGAGCAAAACAATAGCAAAATCAATACTCCTGACCGCTCTGGATTGAATGATTCCATATAGTCCATCTCGTCTTGTGTTTGTGAATCTTTTGCTGGAAAAATCCTCACTTGTTTACTTTGTAGTAAATGTTCAAGAGGTAGCGAAAACTTATGTGAATTTCTGGAATTTCATCTAGCTTTTCCTAATATGACTAATAACCAGTCCGTGCAAAGCTTATTGTTAAATCATCTGAAAATGGAATTTTTAACAGGTGATGATCGACTGTATTGCCAACCTAACTGACTGTTATAAGGAAACAAGTATAGCTGAGGCACCAGTCAATCTAATAATAACACTGATGATCTTCAAACAAGACTCAACCTCTGACGGAAGCAAGAAAATCTTTGGAAGGTTCTAAATAGATGAACATTTCAATCTAGCAGACCACTATTATAATATTCATGCACTCATTGTTTAAATGTGACGATAGTCGTGTCACGAAGTGTTCTGGCGATTCATTGAATCTATTGGAGCCTCTGGAGACACCCTACATTTTGTTTTATAAGATAGAGGACATTGGTAGATCAAGATCTTCAGATGATGTGGTGCAAATGCGCCACTGGAATCAATGAAGTCGCCCCGGAGCGCCAATTAATTTTTATTGTTGTTTTTATTTTATTTTTATCGTTGTTTTAATAAAATTTAATTTGAAAAAATCATAGAATGCTATGATATAACATTAAGAAATATTTTAACACAATGTTTATGAAAAAGAAATACGAGTATTTTTAAAATCTGGTTCTCAAATGACGTGTATAAACAAAATCAATGATCTTTCCATTATTAAATATAAAATTAAATAAGGGGTGGAAAAAATGAAAACATCTGTCACCACAGAATAAATCTATTTATAAATTAATCTAATAACTACAAGAACACATCCTAAAACTCACAGAGCCAAATAATCAATTGAAATGTTGGGATATTGTGCTACATTCAAAATATTAAAATTGGAACAACCTAATTTATTACTGTGCCACATTTAAAATATTCAAATTGAAACAATCTAACTTATTACTGACAAAAATGAAAATTGGACAAAAAACAAATAAGCTGGCCACAGTGGCCATACATACATACATATCTGTCGCTATTCAAACAGTTCAATTGCGTGTTGCGCTAACCAAGTTAGCAACATCAGGACTGAAAACGCGCCTCAAGAGACAGTATTTTGGTTCCGGTGGGGAAAGAGTGTTTTCAATAGAATCACTTCATGGCAGAGGTTACAAATTCTACTTATCAACTCAGATAGTTTGCTTAGGGACATACTAGCAGAGAATTCATTTTGCCTAGACACTAAGGTAATTGTTTTATATGTCTATCTTCTGTAGTGCAATCCGCGATGGTTTATTGTGGCTCACATATACTCAAACTCGATCAAATAAATATAACCTAACAAAACCGATTTCTTCATTTGGTGAGTGATCCTTCAGATCACTCACCATATATTTTATATGGTGTGGAAGCTATTACTATTTTTATTGATAATTTTCTGTTGTTATCCTCTGTGGAAAATTTCAAGTTGAGAATATATGACTATATGAAAGGTTTATGAACTTATGCGAAATTATACTTAAAAAGGCTTATGAACTCATGTGAAATTATATATAATTAAATTTGTGAATGAAGACAAAAGTTTTATAACGTATAAAGCAATATAAGCATAGCCTTTCGAAAATAATTTATTGGAAAGCAGAGGCATTTCAGCAAAGGTGTGCTGGTTCTGATGACATTTACGAACCACATCTGAGATATTTTCATCTACAACAGGTCAAGGATTGCTTGTTACTAGCACAGAAAGTGCAAGTTAGATGAAAGTTAACAAAATTAGGGTTGGCATAGATGAAATCATGAATTTGTAGAAAAAGTCTTAAAACAAAAAAAATGACTATAAATCTTGCACAGTACCTGAAGTGCCGGAAGAATGTACCTTGCAGGTAAGTTAACAATAATGTAGTAATGATAATGAAAAAATCTGGTGATTGTATCAAGTAGAGATAAATACGTATCGAGAAATAAATTTCTAAACATTCACCTCTCCTAATGTTTCTACAGTAGGATCTTATACTACAGATATTTATGCAAATTTCGATGATAGTCTTGCAAATGTTTCTCGTTCATTCAGCAGCAGGACTGTGCTGAAAACAATAGAGTAGATCATCTACAATCGAGACGAATCATTCCTGCACTGACGAGGGGTAATACCCTGAAACCAATCTGTAGGTGATCTACTCTATTGTTTTCTATTTTATAGGCACGTTGGGTGAGGCGAATGTTGCGAAATTTCATTTTGAAATATTTATTTTCCTAATATAACAATAAAGATAACCTGCTTTGCCCTTTTCCAGTTATAAGTTTGTATATCTTGGCAAAGATGATCAAGATCTTGTATTCTGAGCAACTTGTTAACTTTTGATGTTCGAATTAGCTTCGTACACTAAGGCACAAAAAAGCGCAAGTTTTTTTTATTTTTCAACATTATTCCATACCTATATGTACTAACTCAATGTACGAATCACAATGACTGTAGAGCACTCTCAAAATCAACATCAATGTTTACAGATTATTTCGCAGATTTCTGTAGTTTACTTCCACTAATGGACAGTTTTGCATGGAACGGACTAACTGTATAATCTGACTTACAAATTTTTTTTTAACTGTGCATTAGTGAGCCAACACGGTCCAATCAATCTGTGGTGTTTCAAACTGGCGGATTAGTCTAGCGCAATTCTATCTGAGGTGATGTGTTGGTCTCTACTTGTGTGGCCAGATATTTAGAAAATTATCAATGAAACAGTTGAACATTAATTTCAAAATATTGAATTCAGAGCATTGCATTAATAATATACTGAAGATAAAGATTCAGATATTTAACCTTTCAATAATCATGCCATATTTATTGAAAGCTGTAGTCGTATCAGTCTGTCAGACCAGAGTTAAATGATTTGATTATGAATTTTCAAATGCACTAGTTTTTTTATGATTTGGTCACAATGTGTCTGCCAAGCATTGTTATATACCTGTTAGCATTCAAAATTCTCATTTTGTTTATTACTTAAAAATTCAGTTACAGAAAGTTGCAATGTATAAAATATAAGGAACATTTTTTTATTATTGCTTCCTTGGCAAAACTGATGAAAAGCAGTTCTAAACTCACTTGTTGATAAATTTCAGAAAATAATTTTCAAGTACCTAACTGACAAATAGCTATGCTTTGCATATTTTTCATCTCCACTCTAATTTTTTCTGCAATTCACTACCTATTAGTTCATCTTCATGATCCAATTTTTCAATATCAGATTCATAGTACCTCATGACTACCTCATCATTATAACTCAGATTCAGCCACTTTTGTTTTTTCTAGTAAAAACTCTTTTATTGAATGAATTGCAATTGATTGTTTGGAGGAAAACAAAACAATTTGCCTGAATAAATACCTCAACAAAGTATATGGACCAATAATCACCCTGATCTCACTGACTGATTTTCGCTGTAGTCACTACAATACAAACAATGTTGTACAGCAAGCATATGAACAACCTGAAATATCATATCGCTAAGAAAGGTACTAATCACGATAAACAAGTATCTCTTCAAGTTTCCATAAAATCATAAAGTGTCCAGCCAGTCTGACAGACCAAAGGTTAACGAGGTCTTGTTAAGAGTTAGTGAAAATATGCTCAACAAAGAACACGCCTCCTAAATGAAACAAAACAAAGTAGATAGTGAATCTAAATGAAATTATGTTTCCCACCATCAAAACATAACATGTTTTTACAAGATGAGAATGATGTGAGGCTTACCTTTTATCATGAGGTTTTTGAAAGTGTTATTAAACTTCCCTCCATATTTCAAGTTACAATACTTGTGTAAGAAACATGCTTGCAGTGTTTTAAATTTTTGATGTTGAAAAACTTAATTTTCATCATATTCACCAAAGGTTCTACTACTTACAAATTTTTATATATAAAACTATCACGAAAACCTAAAATGATTGCCAACTATCAATGCTCTCAATAAATATAAAAAAAAACAGTTTATTTAAAAAGACATGTAGATGTGATACATATTTCTTCCTCTTATACATTTTGAGAAACTGAACAAAATTGAGACTGCATACCACATATTTCAGAGTTATTTATCCGATAATTGAAAAACCTTTTACTCTTGAGAAATTAATCAAAGTTTTGATTCAATCGAATATCACCCAAACATAAAACGAAATATTACTGTCTTCAATGAAAATTGTTTTGAGTACATGCATGTAAATTTCGTAATCAGAATTATTCCAAATATATAGAATGTAAAAATCAGAACAAGTTTTGTAAAATACAGCTACTCATGTGAATACATTGTTAGTTTCAAAATAGGATTTTCGATATTGAGAATAGGTTCTTTTTCAGGACCTGAAAACTAGGTCATCTAGATCACAGAGGATAATGAGGCTTACAATTTCATCTAAAATAATAGCAGTTTTAACTAGCTCTAGGTTCAGTCGCTCAGATTGCTCTCCTAACTCATATTAAGGAAATATATCAATAAACGGAATGAAACTTTTAAATGAAGTTTTATTCTATAGATTTGGTGATAAATTCCAAAAACTAAACTCTTTTAATAACAATACATTGAAAATTTTAATGGGGTTTAATTATACAACAAATTATTGGCAAAAGTTAGGAGTACTATGAAATGTTTGTCGCTAAATAAAAAAAAATTCTCAACAAAATGCACAGTAGATTTCAATTCTTGAACTAAAAACATATAAATAAAAATTTATTGGTAATATTTCATATAAAGTAAAAAGTCCATAAAGTCTCATAAACGTTTCAATGTCCTCTTTTTCTCTTTCATAATTTTTTTCCTTTCCGCCGTCATTTTCTTATCCCCAGCATGTTTTTTGGCCATAGGACCTTCTCCTGGCAGGCCTTTACATTTATGTTGCTGAAAACATTAAATTCAACAAATGACTAAGTTACCTATGACATGTATATGAATGAAATTAAAAATAAACTTTTTCACCATATCATCAGTTTTCTCTGTAGAATTTCATTTTTGCCACATTTGATATGTTTACAGGTCAAACTGCACTCAGATCCTAGATGGAATCCACTATTAATATGGCTCTCTTGATAATTTGTACATTATTGGCGACACATTTGTACAATTCAACTGATATTTAAACGTACCTTAACACATAAAGTATTCCGATATAAGCAATAACTTTTCATATAGTCACCTTGGCTAAATTAGAGTCTTGTAAAATAAAAAAAAATGTGACACAGATTGGAGCATTTTCCCCAAATATTATATTAATCAAATGATATATTCATCATTGAATTTTTTTATTACTCTAATAATTATTGAAAAATTATCTTCAAAATTATTTTATTCAAAACACATTTTGCTACACGGTAGCTTCATCAGTTACTGGTATATCAAACTATTCTACCATATCATCATCAATAGTGACAACAATCAAATAGAAAAACAATTAACAAACAGTGCTCCAACTGACAACCTTTTTGTTGAATGCACATAAGTAGTTTGTCCATACAATTTCTGTGGCAATTTTCTAGCATGCCGGGTGTACATGCATCTCTTTTGAGATGCAAGTAATTCATTTAATTTAATACTTTGGACGTATGTCAAAAGAATCACAAGCTATTCACAATTTAAGGCGAAAATTTTGAAGTGAATTTAGGGTTTNGTTTAATAGGTATTGCATGATTGGTGGGCAGGGTCAAAAAGGGATTATTATAATGACATGGCACCTCGGAACTAAGTGTTAACCCTTTTTTGAGAAATCATGCTCAAGTATATGAACCCAAATTGCATATTAAATAAGTTTACAAGAACCACTAAAATTAATCTTAATCTTTTTTTAAGAAATTTTACTTACCTAAATACATGTAGGTACTTAGTTTTAGACCAAATTACTTCCCAAAAATGGCCTTTTATTATTATCTATGTCTGTAATTTTTAATTTACTTTAATTATTAAGTTTAATAATCCTAAGATTTGCCTACGCCCATGGACGACAACGAAATTCAGGCAAATTTTATGACACTTCATGATTTATTACTCTACACTCTTTTGAAATAGACTATAGAAACTTGTACTTTGTATACTACTTGTCCATATAGTTAGACTACTTCTGTGAATTTGTTTGAAAAAATTTCTTTTTAGAAACTCAAAGTAATAAAAAAACTGTTTTTCAACCCGTTTTGCACATTATATGAAAGGGTACTGAAAATAAAAATGATGCCTCTCCCAAAGTCATAGCTCAACTAGGAGACAAGCAATTACAATGTGAATAAATTCCTCAGAGCGATTCACAAAAGTCTTTTAGAAAATTAAAATAACTATTACTCAAAAATGGGATGGCATTAAAAATTACTAAATTCCTATATTTCTTGGTCTATATATAAAATGTAAATAAATGCCGAGTTTCATCAAAATCTGGGATAGTTACGATGAGTACTTGCAAATTTCCTTGAAAAGAAACTGTAATGTTTGTACTACAAATACCCGAGTATTCCGTAAGCAGAAAAATTTATATAATTATTCAGTATTGCAGCAGTAAGTTTTTCGTAGACTTGTCATTTTCGTGTTTATTTTTGTGGTAATATTAGTGAATTAATGAATATGTCAATACCTCTGCAGTGAAATATTATATGTAGTGTCCGACCGAAAGTTTAGTTTCGGTTTCGGTCGAGTTTTGGCAAAAAATCGGTCATGTTCGGCGCGTTGAATTTCATACAAGCGACGAAGATATTTTGCCGCGTCCACGTGCCTGATCATGTCGTGACTACATTTTTGTGGCAACTATAATTGTAATAAACACCGGTCTGACTCTAAGTAAAATATACATTTTTTTGACTAGTTTTTAATATTTCACAATGAACAGTGAAAGAAATAAAGCATTTTCCAAAGAAATATCTCAATGTTTGTATTGTTATATTTCATTGTTTATCAAGATTTTTCCAACTATATTAACAATTGCCCATATATATATTGGGTGTGTCTATCATTAATAAATAAAACTGTTTTGGATACCTCTCATAAATGAAGAAGTTGAAATGAAATATTTTAGTGTATTTGTATTCTTACTTGAGCATGTATTTCTGTCATCATTTTGGCTCTTTGTGAATAATCATCGTAATGTTCTAAAAGTAACTTGCCGGCTTCTTCATTAAGAGCAGACTCAGCATTTGGAACTATTAGAAGACACTTTATGGTCTGAAAAAATAAAAATGAGCAAAAAACGAGAAAAGTTTGACAACGTAACTTACTAATAGTATATGTTTGATTCCGAGATCAGATTTCCAATCTTTTTTAAGAGTATTGACACAAATTTCCCCATTTGATGCTACATTGGGGTGAAAAATTTTTGTAATGAAGTATGCCTTTGGTGGCTCCATTGGAAACCCCTTTCCGAGAGCAAGTTTGACTTTGAACAAGCCTCCCATGTAAGGTGTACCTGCATTAAGACAAATAAATAGTTATAACACAAGTATATTCCTATTTTCCATCTTCACCTGCTGGTCCATCAATGAAAGCTTGTATATCAGTAACGTCCTCTTCGTTTATTTGAACTTTGATTCCCTCGGGTGGGTTATTGACTAGATCTTGCATTTCTTTCACAACCCCTCTGATTATTTGTGGAGATAGATTCTCTACATTGTTTGACATCTGAAAAATCCTCTTATAAATTATATAGTAGCAGCCGAGAGTCAACAACTCACTGTTCCACCGGAAGCCATAATAAAAAATATCACTATACCTCAACCAAAATTACCAAAACTCAAAAACACATTAAAGTATCGTCATAACAACGTTAACTTAGAGCTCTTCAAAAGTCAGACATATTTTGAATTTTCAAACCAATCAAATCGCTTTCTTGATTTCTTCTTTCGGAAATTTTAGAATTGGTGATTCGTGCCCGTGACACAGAACAGTAAAGTGAACGACAAGAAAGTTCCTGAATTCAACTAAACATTTCTGTTGGACTGCTTTGACCAAAAGGAACGTGCGAACGTTACAAATCGACCACTGAATGAATCCATCTGGTCAATCAGTGAGTTTAAGAACTCGTATGATTATTCTTTATTCATGATAATACAAACATAATGAAACAATGTTTGAAGGTGATTAAAAATGTTTCATGATGAATTTCATTAGTTCGGACTTCCATTGTCTACTATATAAAATGATTTGAAATCCCTGAAACAACTAAAAAAGAAGAATTGAAAATGATTAGCTGAAAATAACAATTATAATTTTTGAACAATACCAATCAAGCAACCAGCAATAGATAAAACACTCATCTCACGGACTGGTGGTTTTATTATGCTGTTTGTTGCTGTTTTCGTTAGAAATGGATACATAATTTGAGATATATATTAACCAAAATAGAAATTCCATAATTCGTGTTGCTTATGTAATAAGAATGTTAAAACCTGAGAGAAACCCTTAGATTGATTGTTGGATTTGAGATGAATACGTTCATTTCAAAAGAGAAAACGAAGGAAGTTGAGTTATTATCATCACACATTCATTTTGATTTATTGTTCTGAGATATTATGGTAACGAATTGATATAGGTATCTTGAAACAAAATATGTTATCACAAATATGGTAAATGTGCTTACGGTTTCGTAATAATTCAATGAATACATTGTGGATAAATTTGAAAAACTATAACAATAATGTTGATCATGAAAAATGAGAAATAGAATTTTCTATGTTTTTTACCACTTGTATTTGTAACTGACGTTACTGCAGTTTCGTCCAATAAGAACATTTTCAAACGTATTCGTTTAAAAATTTCTCATTTTCCATGATCAAACGAATATGTTTGAAAATATTCTTAAAGGACGAAACTTTGGTAACGTTAGTTACAAATACAAGTAATAAAAAACATAGAAAATTATATTTCTCATTTTTCATATGATGATCTCCTACCACGTAGTATTTGTATCCATCGTTTTAATAATGTTCATATCTTGTACTCCAAACGTGTGCCTTAATTTTTATCCAATTTTAATCTAATTTTTGAATATAAAAAATTATATTGACTACTGCATTGAATATCTTGATTACCGCATTACTTTAATGATTTCCACAAATGTCAGAAATAAAAGATGAATTGAGGTGTTTATGGCGTTTAATCGTATTAGAGCGTGTATTCAAAAACCATTCGTAGTGACATCATTAATAATAAGATTCGCTAGAAGAGTGATTCAATTTGTGTCAGATGTCAAATTCAATAATGAAAACAAACTCTTCAATTTTCTCTAACCTCAATTAGAATCAGATTTGTGCTGGTAATAATTTCGCAGCTTTATTTCGTACATCCTAACAAAATATTTGATGAAAAAATCAGCACTTCATAAACTATAACGATCAAAATATAGCAGAAACTGACAACTGACGTAATATAACGTCAAATTACGTTTCAAAACCAACCTCACGCTATTTTTGAATCATCACGAATACGTTTCAAATCATAGTTGATGTGACGTCATCGTTTCAACGCCAGAATGAATGTATTTGAGTCACACATGAATACGTTTTGAATACTTTGACATTTGTCGTTGTCTAAAAGCCAGTTTCCGGAAAGACAATCCATAGACAATCAAAAATGGGAGAAAACAATTGAGGATCCATTGTTATTTTAAAACAGATTTATTTGTTTACTTAAGGAATTTCACATCACCTTGAACCCCGACAAAAGATAATGATATAGTAGAATATGGCTGCTAAAGCCCAACAATTTCTAGTAGTTTATCTTGGTTCGGTCTTCATCATTTTTCTTGCATAACGTTTCGATTATTCGTAATCACAATTATTTCAGTGCTTTTCCTGAATGATTGTGGATGTAATCAATTAAGAAGGCTCAACAAGTGTTTAACCAAAAAAAAAAAAAACAATCGTCCCAATAATCTCATGATCATAAGCGAGTAATGCAATTATATTTGGCAATCTTGTTTCATAACGTTTATGAATCTTTCAAGACCACACATATTTCGTCTAATATTTGTATGTATTTCGTTTCATTCCGCTTGGTTGTGTATTTCGAGCAGCAGTCGGTGTTAAAATGTGATTCATAGTCAGTCTGGTGTTACAGCTCTTGCCTGTGACTGCAGCAAAATACTCAATCTAGGAGGCATATGGGTGAGGCTGATGTAACTTAGACGCAGTTGATTGACGATCGCTTCTAGTCTTCTATTCAGATAGATTCATTTCCAACTCTAAAACTCGTGAAATATTCCCTTTTAGGCACACATCAACGATGCATGTCTAAAAAACTTGCGTCGAGAGCAGTTTTGGCATTTAGGAACAGTATTTGTTTTAGATTTTTTATACTTCTTCTATTCACCTTCCTAACATTTTCCCATCCTGTAAGGTAGAACTGGAAACTCTGCCATATCTAAACTCATTTCAGAGACTAACAAAGATTCAATCTAGTTAATCTCCTGATAACGCTAGCTAGGTTGATGAAACGAGAGTCAAAAAGATTGTTGCAGTTATGATATGATGATTTTAGCAGTTGAAAATAATAAAGTCAAAAGACTATTTTTGGAAATGGTTCACTTAAGTGAAAATAATAATAACTTGAACAAAAAATGAGAAATACAAAATTTAAGTCNTTCTGGGGAAAGCACTCTCTCATAATCAAAATCACAGAAACATGTTTTCGGCTAAGCAGTCTTCATCAGTACAGTGCAAGAATGGCAACTGGTCACAGAAAACAATACAAATCCTCGAAGTCATCAAGAGAAGCCAGCCACACGTTGTGGATTTGTGGTTTCGGTTGTATCGCGTCGGGTTGTAGACTTTTCATATATTCTTCATTCAAAGTACTGCCAGTAATATACAATTATCAAGATGAAAATCCATTTTGATCATTGACTTATATGTGTCAGAATTATTAATAATAATGTCACTAGTGAAGCCAGCTCTAGGTGAACGCTGTCTCTAGACATTAGTTTCAAATCAAAATAAAGAGTTTAAAATAAATGAAGGAAGGTAGCAAACCATTTGAGATATTTCCAAAAATTTATGATCGACTTGAAATACAATTAAAACATATTTGAATGGAACTCGACTTCGTTCATATGGCCACCGCGGGCACGTCGGCAGCGGTCGATTCGTTGGACCCAATTTTCGATGACTCGGTCACACATTTTGGTTGTAACGGCTGGCGTTCAATGTTGGCTCTGAGTTCTTACAATGTCGTCGGCTTATTGGCATAGACCAATGATTTAACGTAGCCCCAAAGAAAAAAGTCTACCAGCGTTAAATCGCACGAACGAGGTAGCCAATTGACTGGTCCATTTCTTGAGATAAGACGCTTACTCTTCAATATATTGATTGTGCTGTGTGGCTTGTGTATTATTTTTTGTGGATGAAGTGGTGATTCATGAAGCACATGTGGATTTTCACCAGACCAATAACGCATATTTTGATTATTGATGAACCCATTGAGCCAAAAATGAGCTTCGTCACTAAATATGATTTTGCGATAAAATTCATCATCTTGGCGCATCTTCTCTAGAGCCCAATCGGAGAACGTACGTCGCGTCAAATGGTCTATCGGCTTCAATTCTTGAGTCAGTTTGATCTTCTATGGGTGTTAACCAAGATCTTAACGCAAAATTCGCCATAAATTGGTCTTGGCGTTGCTCAGTTCTTGAGAACGCCGCGAAATCGACTGATTTGGATCGTTTGCTACAGACGCCTGAACGGCAGCGATATTTTCGTCACTTCGACCAACCCTGTATTTCACTGGCACGGCAACATCACACAATGAATATTTCGACTCAAATTTTTGCACTAAACTTGTTATTGCTTGTCCACTAGGGCGAGCATAATGCCCAAAAAGTGGAGTCAACGTTCTTAAAGTTGCGGTCACCGACTCCAAATTTCGGTAGTACATTTTTATAATTTGCATACGTTGTTCGTTCGTGTACTTTACCATGATGAAAATGTTGAGTTTACTAAAAAAATGGTCTATATACATGCTATTTTCATGAGGTTGCAGTTAAAAAGTGACTTGAAAAGGAACAGAAAAATAAAAATATTTTTTGAAGAAAACACGTGGTAGTAGTTTCATTAGTATATCTGATATAAATCAGAACAAAAAAAATTCTGGGGAAAGCACTCTCTCATAATCAAAATCACAGAAACATGTTTTCGGCTAAGCAGTCTTCATCAGTACAGTGCAAGGATGGCAACTGGTTACAGAAAACAATACAAATCCTCGAAGTCATCAAGAGAAGCCAGCCACACGTTGTGGATTTGTGGTTTCGGTTGTATCGCGTCGGGTTGTAGACTTTTCATATATTCTTCATTCAAAGTACTGCCAGTAATATACAATTATCAAGATGAAAATCCATTTTGATCATTGACTTATATGTGTCAGAATTACTAATAATAATGTCACTAGTGTAGCCAGCTCTAGGTGAACGCTGTCTCTAGACATTAGTTTCAAATCAAAATAAAGAGTTTAAAATAAATGAAGGAAGGTCGTGTTTTAACGAACATTTTCTAACGCGAACGCCATATCTGTCCATCTTTTTAATCTATCAGCTTCTGTTGACGTCAAAATAAGTTCAAAAAAGATCAGTTTGAAACGATATATATAAAAATCTTGAGTGCCGATATAAAAAACAGGATTTACAATGTCAGAAACAGTAAGTACATAATCTACTTGTAAAATTTCTTCTTTATTTTCCTAACCTTAATAATTTGAAGAAAGCAGAAATATCCCATCCAAGATCCTTTGAAAATAGCTACATAGGAGATACCGCCTATGGAGGTTTCATTAGATATGAAGAATCTTTATTGATCCCACCCATTCCTAATGAATATAAGATTTCCTATGCCCCCACAATGGTACTGATATGATGAAGTGCTTGAACCTTTTTTCTAATGAGATGTGACTTGCAGGAATCACAAATTCGCAAACTCAGATTATCCATGGAGGCCTACAGAGAATTAATGCTTCATGGTAACAGTATCTTATTATGGGAGAAGCAATGGCATTCCTCAGCAATTATAGGAGGTAAATGATAAATGTTTAAATTTAGGATAATTTTCAANCTGTTGACTTCGGATTTTCACTGTACAAATTCACTGGTGTTCTACTTGGTGATGACAGTGTTGTCAGATCTCAAATATGTCTATAATCTGAATAAAAATTACAAACAAATACTTTGTTTCCAAAATTGAAGTTATTGTAACTTCGTTGTTAACAAATATTTTTTAATGAAAATTTGACAGTTTTGATTTATAACGACTACGAATCCAGTGGTGTAGTCAAATTTGTCCTCATCTTTCATCCGGATGTCTCATTAAATTAGCATCAGGTAATAAATATTCTTTGTGTTGGTGCCTCTCCAGGTTCTTTGCTTCTAGAAATATGTACTGTTTAGTGGAATATATTGAATGTTAGATCTTACTGTGTTTTGATTTGTATTCACTTATCGAAGAACAAATACAAATGTGAATCATTTCATTTATTATTTTGTTTGTATTTGGTTTGAACACTAATATTTTTATGATTTCAAAATTGGGGTTGTGATTTTCTTGAATTATGTTTATTCTGGCACGTACTTGAATTTTTCATATATTTATGCCCATTTAGTCTCGTAATAATTCATGCCTATGTATTCTTTCTCGGAGTGATTGCATGGAACTATAGATAAGATTAGAGTTTTTCATTTTTTGGGTTTTACTATTTAGGTGGGTGTAGAGTTGTTTAAGTGAGTTAATAGTAGAGATAGTTGTGTTTGGATATTTTTTTAAATTGTTTTGATAAATTTGGTACATAAGGAATTGTGATGTATTGTTTCATTTTTGGGAACATATCTTGTTTGGTTGATATATTTATGAATTTTGTTTTTTTTATGAACTGGAGGGGGTAATTATTATCAAGGAGGGTTTTTTTAACTTTATTTAATATTTCTTCTCTAAAGGTGGACTATCCTCTATAGCCAACAAACAAACCATGTTTAGTAGAGTGACAAGGAAGTTAGTTAAACGAAACAAATTCATGATCCTGCACAGTCATCCTCCCTCATGCAAATACAGTTTCACGTTTCCACCTTAACACCGCTGTTTACAATCGAAATAATTATCAATAGAATAATTTTATAACATGAGAAAATTCGACCATGTCAAGAAAAAAAAAGGATATCACCTTTATAGCACCTAAAATTCCACATAATTAATGAAGGAAAATTTTAAAATTTCGTTTTAGTTTCAACAATGCAGCCTAGGTATTTACCATCAGGTTATTATAAAACTATCACTAACAAAAGACATTTTTCCATTGTAGTTTTATTATACGAAATTAAATTGACAAAAATCCAAACCCCAAGAAAGCCTCTTCCAAAAAACACACTCAGGATTCAAGAATATATATACAGGGTGAGTTAACAAGATTTCCTCGCTCCATTGTTATCAGAGGAAAGAAACAATTTTTTGAACTGCTCAATTTTTTTTTGTAGTCACATCTATAAATACTACTTATACTGCATACTGGGTGATTCAGCCGAGTGTGGCCAACCAAAGTTATATTTTTTTAAATAGAACACCCAGTATATGAATACGTCATTTGATTCCATATTTTTTTATCTCTCTAAGGAATTTTTGTTTTCGAATTTCCATTGCGGCATTGCCAAGTTATTCTAGAAAAACCTATTTTGCAGACAATATTTTTTTAATTCACCACCCTTATGTCTACAGTGGATTTATTTTAGAAATAGTTAGTCAACATCACTATAATAATTTCTGGAATCTCAACTTTCGGAAACAATATATAGGGTGCTCAGTAAAACCGTTCATTTTCAAACAGACAATTCAACTTTTTCAAATGGAACACCCTGTATTTTTTTCATTTGTTTTTCTTTAAAAACCCAGTCATCCATGAATGACATCAAAAAATGAATCTCGGAATTTGTCAATAACGCCATGTGTTGAAGTTTCTTTCGCCTGTAGATTGAATCATTTTCATTATGAATTATGTATTGGGAGATATGGTGCAAATGGTCTATACTTTGGGGGAAAGTGACGGAAGACAACTAGATGAAAGGGCATTTCAGGCTCTAAAAACAAGATTTGAGAGAACTGGTAATGTTAATCACGAGAAGTTCGAACGTGTCTGCCCTGTAACAAATGAAGAGAATACATTCCAAATTACTCTACACCTTGTTGAAAATCCCCATGTGAGTACCCGAGACCTGAGAAGGGAATTAGAATTTTCTCAAACCAGCGTTTCTTGAATGATAGGAGCAAACAAATTTCATCCTTATTACATGCAATTGATGTAAGAGTTAAGAGGAAGAGATTTTGAAAAACGTGTTCAATTTTGCCGATGGGATTTAAAAAAGATGAATCAGGAAAATGAATTTTTTGATTTGGTGTTATTTTCTGATTGAGCGACTTTTCATAAAAATGGAACTGTGAACCGGCATCACATGCATTATTATGCAATGGAAAACCCCCATTTTTTTCGTTGCCTGAACCATTAACTGTCTTGGTTACTGAATGTTTGGGGTGGAATTCTCGGAAAAAGAGTTATCGGTCCGTATTTTTTGGATAGGCATCTCACTGGAAGAAAATATGTAAGATTTCTTCGGCATGAGTTTTTTCTGATTTTATTGGACAGGGTTCCATATGGAACAAGACTTANGTCTCTGATAAGAAGACCAAGTATAATTATCCGGTCAGACATGTTTCAAAAAAGTGGTGCTCAATAATTTTATTACCAAGAACACCAAGCCATACGTTAATACCATATCTCTCTTTAAAATTGATAATCCTGTGTAAATATTAATTTTATTGTCGCCAGTGATAATGGATAGTCCTGGTGAACCATCCGTTATTGGTGAATCTACTTCAATCTCACCTCAATTTTTTGTAATCTTCATTAATTTGGCGAAATCTTTTGATGAGCTATCTATAAAAAACTTTTCTCCTGTTGAAGTCCAGAAAACGCAAATGATGGACTTTCCTGACTGGATAAGGTTTGAATTTATTTTTCTTTAAAATGTGAATCTTTTTTGAACTCGCCTAAAACACCACATTCAGTAACTGTACATTTTCTTTTGGAGAGTTTTTCAAAGGATCCATAATTTATATATCACTCTTTATTAGCAAATAATGCTCTCCATAGTACAGTCAGTCCCTAAAATAAAATTTCATAAACTATTTACGATGAGTTGAAAGTATATATGATTAGGTTGTCGTCGTTCAAGATGCATTTTCTGATACATTGCCAGAGATTTGGTAGCATTTCTTAAACATCTCAAATAAACAAAAAGTATATCCACTTTTCCATCATTGGAAAAATTCATGTGTTTCCCTTGAAATCGCTCACCAAATTGAATAACTGTTTTATTTTGTGTTTGACAATTAACTTGACGTTCACATTCATGTATTTCATAGCTTTCATATATGAAGTTATCAATCTGCCTATTACTTAGATTGAACTGGAGTAGGCAGATTGAGACGTTAGTGAGAATCATGACGAGACCTGGGGAGTAGGCAGATTGAGGCTTCGATGTCAAGTCACATCAACTTCTTGAAAATGGCTCCAAAATCGGAACCGAAACGGAGCCGATGTACTGTCGTCCGGGTTGAACCGCGTCTGTAATTTTCATCTTTTCGACTTTGACGCCATTTTGAAAAAAAAAATTTGAAACTGAAATTACATGACTCGACGACGGAGTATTAATCTCCCCCAAGTATCGTCAATGGCTTTATTCTTCCTTTGTTCAGCTTGAAGTCACAAAACCAGTGACGAGACTTGGAGGACAGGGAGATTACGACTCTGTCGTCGAGTCATGTAATTTCAGTTTCAAGTGGTTCTTGAAAATGTGTGTGTATTCATATAAACAATTTAAATTGTGTTTTTAGGATGCACTGTGATATTTATGTTGATATGGCTAAGTGACCCAAATATTTTAACAATTTTATCTCTACTGGGAATGCTGATAACACTTGCAGATTACACTTTACCAATGATAATTTCATCCATTTTCAAAGAGGATACTTGGAATAATGGAAAACAAAAGCAATATGAAGACATCTGTACAAATATCATACTGTACAAGACTAAATTTGAGTTATTGCTTGATTCCTACTATCGAATGAGAGTTACCAACCCAAAAATGGTAAATATATCAAGAATAATTTGAAATAACTATTTTCATTCCTTAATTTTGTTGATTTCAAATATATGATGCAATAGATATATTAAGCAGAAGTGTATGGATTGAATGGGTGGCAAGGAATATATTGAAGGATATTAACTTAAACTTGGATACATGTTGAAAAAATCCCAGATGAAATTATGACACCTTTATTTTTCTTACTGTTTCCCTTGTTTCAGTACAGAAGACCATTATTTGATAAAATATCTGTAGAAGGGTGGTCTGAAAACTTTCCGACATAACAAATATACAAGACTTTTTTTCAGATAATTTTTTTTTAACGTAGTCTTCTATTAAATATACACACTTCTCCCGGCGATGCTTCTATCTCTGTAACCCGTCCAAATAGTACTCGACGTTTTTCTCTGTCAAATAATTGTTCACGAAGGTGATTGCCTTTTCATTGTACGAAAATATCTCTCCTCCGAACGCACTTTTTAGATGAGGAAACAAAAGAAGTCACTTGGGGCTAGATCTAGTGATGGATGGTCAAGCAGTTCAAACCGTAATTCGTGAATTTTCGCCATGGCAATCGCTGAGGTGTGAGACGGTGCATTGTATACGTGAAACAGGATTTTCTTTTTCTGCAAATGTGGCCGTTTTTCCACAAGTTCTGCCTTCAGCACCTCAAGTAATGATGCATAGTATGCTCCTGTAATGGTTTTCTCCTTTTTAAAGATAATCAATTAATATAACTCCATGACTATCCTAAAAAATAGTCGTTATCACTTTCCCGCCGTAAAAACAGTTTTTCCTTTTTTTAGAGATGGTTCTCCCTTTGCAGTCCACTGTTTGGACCGTATTTTTGTTTCGGGCGTATAATAGTGTATCCAAGTTTCATCTACAGTAATTAATCGCGACAAAAACTGCGCCAACAGAGCGTTGGAAATGTTCATTCGAACATGTTTTTGGTTTTACGTGAGCAAACGCGGCACCTAACGCGCGGACAGCTTTCTCATGCCTAAATGTTAATTTAATATATGACAAACACGTTCTTTTGAAATATTCATAACCTCTAACATCACTCTCACTTTAATTCGCTGGTCGTATAGCACCATTTGGTGAACGTTGGCTATGTTTTTGTCTGTAGTTGCAGTTTTTGGACGTCCCAAACGTTCATCGTCTCCCATCTTTGATTTGCGAAGGCGTATTGCCTTCCACCAAAAACAAATATTTAATGACAGTTCGATACTCGATTTTGTCCATTTTCATAAAACACTGTCATCAATTCACTCAAACGACGGTTACATAACAACTGCCCGTCCAAAATGGCCTAAACTTTGGTAAGTGTCAACTGATGAAAAACGAAATTCTGTAACTTTTATTTACGAATGCTGCTATCTTCATATTGAGGTCGGTAATTTCAGACCACCTTCCTATATATCTATGGTCAATTCAGTACTTATTGGCATTAACAAATGAGGAATTGAATTTAGAAAAAAAAAATTCTTAATTATTGCTTCACATAATGTTTCAACGTCTCCAAATTAGAATAATACCAGAATTCCACTTCATATTTTCTTATATTGTTTATTGTCCCACCCATTCATATCTTAAAGGATCTTTCAATTCTTTGAATTTGCATTTTCTGTTACTTTTTAATATAATGCAAGATTACAAAAAACAGGTATTAGATACAATATCTTATAACTTTCTTTGTAAGAAATTAAATAAAATGGGATATTCCATTGATACAAGTTCAATATTCCATGACAGAAATGTATGAGGTGAAAGTGACCGAATGTCTGTTAACATCTATCACATATTTGAATATAGAATGTTGATGAGTATAAAATTGTTCAAGTGAGGTTATTCACAGAATGATAAAAGTATTAGCAATTTGGACTTGCTGTCTGATAGTTGTAGTAAAATTGTCAGGGATTTATTAGGAACATTACTAACTAGGTGCCAAAAAATAGGGCACATTCCAGCACATTACCACTGTTGAGAAATTTCCATACCTTTTCTGTTTTAGTATTTTGGCCTGACAATTATTGGATTAGGATTCCTTGCTTGGATTGGAGGAACTGTAAATAACCTGTTTTTGACATATGTCTTTGTTCTCCTCCTTTTATTGCTACCTGGTATGGCATACAATGGATTCTTGAACAAAGGATTAGAAACCTTATCAAAAATATTTACTGATTTGGTAGAAAATGCCAAATCTAAGGTTGTACAGAAAAAAACTGAGTGAGATTGTTATAGTTATCAGTTGGTTATGTAATTTTGAACTATTATGTACATGTTCGCTCAAACATTATTATATTTAGGTATTTTTTGAAATCGAAGAAATTTTCGGTGTGATATATAGACTGATGTTACTCACCTAATTTTATTCGTTACGAGTAATTAGTTTTATATTCAATGAATAAATTATCTTTTTATATTTTGTTGTTGATTTAACTCTCCATAATTGGGTATTGCCTTGAATTTTCATTGAATCCAGAAAGAATATATAAAGTTGAGATCTTCAATCAATCAATGTTGAGCTTATGTGGGAATGCAAACTGCTAATGAGATGTATCACTTTTCGGGTCTATACTTCAAGTTGATATAGCTCCTCTTCAGTCAACTCTGCTACTCCAAAAGAGTATACTAAGATCGAATGGCAAGTATATCTCTGACAGAAACTTTATTCTTCTCGGCAGTTCCAATGATCACATATGGCGGAGTTTATGCTGATACTTGTGAGAGTTACTCAATAGTTTTACCTCTTGTGAGAGGCGTTATTATTATTATTATTTTTTTAACCAAAGTTTGCGCTTGTCAGGCCCTATCCCACGAAGCCCCGATATATTGGGGGCACCTGTACCAGCATTGTCAACCAACGACCACTCCCCACTCCGTGGGGTAAGTGAACGTTGAATGACAGCCTTCTGCATTTGTACGACTAAGATTTCTACCTTAGTGAGGCAAGTCGGCTCCAATAATCAGAACAACCATCTTAAAGGTTTGAAGAGAAAATCCCGATATTTAATCCGATTTTCCTCCTCTTTTTGGACGATATTCGTTTCACTGGGAGCTGAAAACTCTACGACGAATATCGTCTTGCTCTGATGGTCGTGAAGAATTACATCAGGCTCATTAGCTTGCATGAGTCCGAGGGTGGGAAATGAATAGTTTTAATAAATTCGGAACTTCTTATTTCACACGACAGATTCAATGTCCCCAGAGCGTAGGCCAATACCGGTGTCTTGTTAATCCCTTAAAAGTGCCTTAGATGGTAATCAAGCACTCTCAGATGCCAACTTTTTAGGCTTAGACCACATATGCTGGACATGCTGACAGCAATTGCATTAGGGCCTCAGGAGCATCGTGGCAGGCCCTGCACGTTCTGTCAGGAAACTAAATACCCATCACGCGACTGCGGTAGACTAAAGAATTGAAGACACCATTCTATCAGGTCATGATGAACCCCTCAGTTTCCAACTTCAGCCAACTCAACCTGAGGAAAGCGAAGGTCAGGTTCTTTATAAAGCAGAGATCTTCAATGTTGTTAAAAGGACACCATTCATTGCGTTATCCATTTGTTTCTGCAGGAGTGAAATGCTCTATGCATTTTTCATGTGGGCATTTTACTGAATGGGCTCCATCCAGTACCATTCTCTCGTGTAGACTTTCCAAACTCGTGTAGGCTTTCCAAACACGGTTTCTCTGCTGTCGGGGGAAGTACAACCGTGGAACGGACGATTTGTAAATACATTCCTATGTATTTGGAGTTCTACTCCAAACGAGAAGAGTAAAATTGGAATGGCAAGCATATTTGTAGCAATAACTTGGTTCTTCCCCGAAAGTTCCGATGGCCAGATCTGTCGAAGTTTGTGCTGATACTTGCCGCAAAGAGAGTTCTTCACTGCTGTTGTTAGTAGCGGTATTCCACCTTGAGGTAAGTATAGGTCTCTCCGGTGCACATTTATCAATCCCGAATTTCATACCGATGGAATGCGTGTACTATTCCACCACCTACAAGGACTGATAGAGATCCTTTTATCAAGAGGCATAAAGTTTAAGATCAGCCATATAAAACAAAAGGGGGACCTTTTGCCTCCGGTTTCCGGGGGCTACTAACCAGGTATACCTTCACATAAAATATAATAATAATAATTTTATTAACCATTATCGGTACATAATGTACATATGGTAAGTCAATAATTGTAATATATGTTATACACATATTAAGAAAAAAATAATAGTTAGTCATACAACAAATTACACAGATAGACGAAGATAACAGATCAGGTGTCTACAAACTGAAATTCGGATCATGCCCAAGTGTATGTAGGAAGGACTTCAAAAAAACTTAAATGAGAATCTTTGAACATGAAAGAAATTTCGAACTGACGAAGACCAATTCATCTATGCGTGTCACCTTCTAGAGATCGATCACGAGTTCAACACTATGTACGACATACTTTATGTTAAAATTAATAAACAAGGGTGAACGTTGGGGTTTCCTACTGAACGACTAACAGGAGGTAGACCACTTCCCATTGTTAAACCTTTCTGCATAATACCAAGAAGTTTATTCATATTCAAAATTTTCCTAATGTCCAAGAACTGAGAGTGTAATTGGTTCAACAGATTTTACATGTGATAACTCTCACTAATAACCACACGAATTAGGTAACGATTATTGTTGTATATAAAAACTATGTATCAGTAATATTCATTTCTACTGAGGAAGCTACTGTGTTAGCAAAACGCATCTGGAAATCAAAATGTATGTGAACATTGTGTAATTATTATCATGGATATTGTTATGAATTTTTATCACGGCATCGGAAGAAGGAGTGTGTTCTCCGTCGCGGGTGTGCCTGAGCTGCCGGTCTGGTTTTGTACTATTTGCTCGGATTCGTGGTGGCGCAACTCACCCAAGCCCTTAGATATTGCATGGCTGTACCCACTCATAATTATTATTATAATAATTATTAATATTATTTTCTTCTGTCTTTGAGGTCCTGACACATTAGCGAGGGTCATTATCATTATTATATTTCGGTTGCTCAAATAACGATCTTTGTGTTCAGAGCATATTGCTAATTGAGCGATGCTATAAAGGACTTTTGGTTTTCAAATCAAAAGTGAATTGTTTTGGTCAACGCGTTCAAGGTCAGAAATTAATTTGAGATCTTTAGCTGTTCAGGCAGCTGCCTTAAAAAGTAATGTTTCGATACCTTTTTATTAAGGATCGTAGACCCTGCAGATAAAGGTATCCAAACCCCGAATGACTTCACATGCTCCAACCGTTCTATTATGTAGACACCTCAAACTCAAAAGTCCACGTTTCTCCTATTCCAGTGTGAAGTACCTTAGAACGTTAGGTACTAGAGTGATTTTTAAAGATTGTTTTTTTGTATTTTTTCCAATCCTTATTTTATTTGAATATGAATATCTTCTGTTGAGTATCACTATGTGACATAATCCACAAACTATCTTACAGAAACGATAAAGGAGTTCTACCATGCTTAATGTTCACAGGTAATATGAATTAACGATGTAAATATATTTGTTTCATTTAATTTTTCTTGAAATTTGCAGTTTCATATTGTTATTCTGAAAATATTAATTTAAAAATACATTCATTTCTCAGCTGTTATAATTCTTGATCAGTTTCATGAGTTCTTCGACTAGTATCTTCTGCATTTTCTGTCACTTTGTCTCTGTCCATATCAATACCGAGGATTTCTTCAAAAAACATGGGAAAGTCGATGACCTGAAGAAAAAAACTTGTTTTTGGTAATGAACTATTTCAACAATTATACTGTACCGATGGTAGGAAATCAAAACTTTCCTGTGAGCTCTCCACTCTCATTAACGTTTTGAAACACTTATAAGCATTGGTGTTGGTCATTGATTCACCTGTAATGAAACAATTAGTTATTATGTGATTAGTTAACGGAAAAGGTATAATGCTGGTTCTGGGACCAAATCCCACGATTTTTCTTATGGTGTTTCAATTCATTCATTTACGATCCATTCAAGGTCATCAAATAAAACCGTTTGAATGCCTAATTGTGTATTTTTAAAGCTTAATGAACTGAATTAATTAAAAAATTTAATCACAAATACGGGGGTCGTCATATTTATTTTTGTGATCAACATCATTTGCAATTGTCGAAAATTAAGATGAACTATTTCAAAATTGGTGAGCTGAAATGAATGCGTTTTGTCATCAATAAAATAAATAGAGGTTGTCACAGTAGGCTTGAAGCATACAGTAAAATGGATATCAGGGAATCCAATTTTCAATTCAAAAATTCAGATATGATTTGTATGGAATTCAAGTTACAAGAATATCAATAATTAATTTAGATAACATAATTATTTTTTCCACGCCTCTACAAGAGCAAATCGAAAGGTTAAGAACAGTTTTCCAAGACTCTGGAGTCAAACTTGAAAATCCAACTTGATAAGTCAGAATTCTTACGAAAAGTGACTTATCTTGGTCATATCGTTACTCCAGTGCCAAACAAAATCCTGATTAAATAAAATCAAAAAAGAATTTTCCTATTCCAAAAACAACTAAACAAATGATGATCTTCAAACATGACTCAACCTCTGACGCAAGTACCAAACTCTTACGAAGGTTCGAAATAGATGAACACTTCAATCTAGCAGACCACTATAATCTTCATGCAGTGATTATTCACTGTGGTTCTGGCATTGAATCTGGTCATTATTACGCCTTGTTCAAAGACGAAACGGACTGGTTTAAGTTTGATGATAGTCGTGTCACTAAGTGTTCTAGCGATTCATTGAATTTATTGGAGTCTCTGGAGACACCCTACATTTTGTTTCATGGAAGAGAGGACATTGGCAGATCAAGATCTTCAGATGATGTATTGCTGCAGGTTTTTCCGGGATTTCCTACAGCTGAAAAGCAAATGCGCCACTGGAATCAGTGAAGTCGCCCAGGAGCGCCAATTAATTTTTGTTGTTGTTTTATAATTTCATGATTTATATTGAAAAGTTATAGACAAAATATAGTGGGTTAACTAAACAAATTATTGTATTTATAAAACTTTTAGAATATTACAGATGATTCATTAATAACTTTGCAATATTAACGGAACCACTAACTGAATGCTTGTAAAGATTTGATAATTGATGAGCTAATCCTTCAGTATCCAAATTTTTCTAAACCTTTCAATTTGACAACGGACGCCTCAAACGTAGCTTTGGATGCGGTCTTGAGCCGAGGACTGTAGAACGCCGTCTCTTCTAGATAAGTGTTGCCTCGCGCAATACATGTGAACACCACGAGACTATTTCGCAGAGGTGACAAGAGGAAGGTGAAAAGACAAAAGTACAGTAGAAATTTTTATTTTCTGTGGCAAAAGGTCAATTGGCAGAGCGACGAACTGGAGAGTGGTCGATGCTCGACGAACAAGTTGAATATAAAGTTCCGACAAGTGGATGTTTGATTATCCAGGTGTTATAACTACAAACTTATTATTATCATTTGATTTGGTGTGGACTGATTATCCGTTCATCTACGTGTAGTAGAGTTAGACGGATTCCTACCTGTTAGGAGTTGGCTGCTGTCTCAATTTGCAACTTTGTGAGAGCTCCATCGTGGGACCGGAAAAAGTTGAGTGATAATAAAATTGTGTGGGCCCCAGATTTTCATGAATCGAATCCTTTTTCGGCAGTGTAGCGTTTAAGTTTTGTTTGTTCGTTTTCTCAATGCTGACGCTGTCCTTGTGGACTGAAGAATTTATTATATCATTATTTATAATATTATTGATGAAGAGTGTAGAAGTGTTTCGGAAAACGAT